AATTATTAACGACACCTCATTATCTTCTTTCGATGTGAAATATGAAAGTATCCGTACGTGACATATTATGATAGTAATTACTTATTAACTCTATAACGACTTATAAATTATAGTAAACAAAACGATTAAAACGAATCCTAATCGTTTTTCGATGTATACGCTCATACAGTATATCAGTAGTAATATTATAACAACTTAACATTTTTTCTAACACCTTACTGTTACTAGGTATATACGATTTCTCCTTCAGACAGAAGTCATTAGGAAAAGATAATTTAAAGATGTATATTATGTAATGTTTAGTGTGACACGACTTTTCTATTACTTAATTATAAGTATTAATATATTACGATATAATATGGTGAATAGATATTTATCACGCGACTTATAGCTGTATGGAGTGGGTAGGTGAATTGTATATAAGAGAGCTGATTTCACTCAAATGAGTTATACTGTTCTTCAAGCTCTTACAGACAGTCTACGTGCTACTATTATTCTTTACCTAGTGTTTATTACATATCGGTAAAAATGTTCAGTTGTAATGTTTGTGATAAAGTTTTCACTGTGAAGTGTAATATGCTGAGACATGTAAAATCTCACGAACAGATGAAATTTCAATGCGGTCACTGCAAACAGTATTTTAATCGTCGAGATCACCTCGTGAATCATGTACAGAAAAAACACGGTATGTATTTAATTTTATATTATCTATAAGTATATTATAATATTAGTGACTTAGGACTATGAATAACAAATATAGAATTTTCTATATATTGATAAATAAATTAAACGGATAACCGATTCCACTCTAAATGAATACAATAATAATTCGAATAACATAATCCTAGTATATATTTCATTACTAAAGTATTTTTACTAATAAATAATATTATTATTAAATAATAATCAATAATTATTTACTGACATCAATTTCCATAGAATTGTTATAGTTATATTACATGAATATAAAATTGTATAGCGTGTACAATTACATATATTAAGGAATAAATAATTTGAATATTATTAATATTATACTAATTTATATGATAATATATCACGTATTTAGTACCTAGTATAGATTATAAGTCATAATAACAACCTTTTTTTTTATATTTCTCTCTTATTAGGTTTCGTTAAATATGGTGTTGAATACAATTCGGCTATGGGTATCACGGTTGGACAGCAGCAGCAACAACAACAACAGTCATTAAGTGAGTAATCATTATTATATTATTAGATCGTATTAGATTCAAAAATAATAATTATAATTATTTTTATAAGGTATGGATATCGTAGGTAGTGTACCATCCACGTCTAATGTGAATGCTATTATTCCACCGCAAGCCCCCACCCCTACCACTCCGTCAGTTAAACGCGCTAAAACCAACTCGGCGCGTAACATCGTAAAATTTAAAAAGGCTCGCATAGGAATGGTTAATACGCCGGGCTTTATCGAGCTCGACTCTTCGCTGGATAGGACTATAGTATGGTATTATAGAGGTAATACCGAGAACTATGTGAGTTATCCAACGTTTTTAGACTCGATAAAACTCGAATTGATGAATAAAATCAACGATTGTGTGCGTATTAACCCCATAAAATATAATTTGAAGTTGGAGAGCATATATGTACATAGGGAATTACCAGCCGAGGATAGGGCATTTAAAACCGTGTCGAGGGAGGTGTTTATCCATAGCGATGTGAGTGCTATGATCGATGAGGACTTCGCGGCACTCATGTCGGAGGAGGATAGGTATATGAAAAAGGGGTCGGGCTTCACCCTATCCATTATCGATGGCTTGTTACTAGGTATCTATGAACATACCCCTCTTGGAGGGTCCTCGTATATTCCACTCCCAGAGAATATAATGCGGAAAAAGGCCGTCATTAATCCGATGAACATTGACGACGAGTGTTTCAAGTGGGCTATTCTAGCTAGACACGTTCCAGTAGCCAACCAAAGTCGTGTAGGTCAAAATTATTATAATGAGGAGTATCGATACGATTTTTCCGAATTATCCTCCCCGACACCAATATCGGAAATCCGTATATTCGAACGACGGAATAAGGGGGTGTCGGTAAACGTATACGGATTGAAACCTGGTAAGGGGGGTAAAGGGGGAAAAGGGGGAAAGGATGGTAAGGGGGAAAAAGTAGGAAAGGGGAGTGTAGTGTATCCGATCAAGGTCGTTGAAAACGAGAAGGCTGAACATTTTGATCTTCTCGTAATTGAAGGCTCGGAGCGGATGCACTATACATACATATCGAATTTTTCACGATTGGTACGAACCCAGAAAATATCACTCACCAATCGACTTTTTATATGTAAGAGGTGTTTCACCTCATTCGATGAGCGGGTTAAAAAAAATAAATTGTGTGGTCATGAGGCTCTCCAACAACATATGAGGCTATGCGGGCCAAATAAACCAATTCTACCTGTTATGCCGGAGGAGGGGGAAGTGCTCAAGTTTAATGGGTGGGGTAGCATGCAGCGTCATCCGTTTACGATATACGCAGACTTTGAAGCCCTACTCGAAAAACAGACGGAGCGGGTGGGAGCAAGCACCGACGGGATACATGCACATCACCCAATGAGCTACGGGTACTTTGTTAAGGCAGCGGTGGACGTACCCGTAGAATTGATGGAGAAATACGATATACCACAGACACCGGTCACATATCGCGGGTCGGAATCGCGTGACGAGGTGGCCAAACACTTTGTCGCTACTGTGACCGCGCTCACCCTCAGGTTGGGGAACCTGCTGAAAGCGACTAATGTGCCGATTTCGATGAGTGTGGAGGAAGTGCGTGCGCATAACGCGAAGAGTGTGTGTGATATGTGTAAGTTGCCGTTCACCGAGGTCAGGTGTAAAGTCGCCGACCACTGTCATCTGTCGGGACGGCTGAGGCACACACTTTGCTCACCGTGTAACCTCAAGCTCGTCACACCCAAGTTTGTGCCGTGCTTCCTGCACAACCTCTCGAAATATGACGCACACTTTATCGTAACCGAACTCGGTTACGATAAGGAATCGATAACGGTGATCCCCAACAGTGAGGAGAACTATATCTCGTTCTCGAAGCGTATCTCACCCGACTTTAGTGTGAGGTTCTTGGACTCGTGTCGGTTCATGGCCTCAAGCCTGGCCGAGTTGGCCGGGAACCTCCTAACGAAGCCCGGTGAATTTGAAAAGTTCCGTGAGACCGCCAAGGTGTTCCAGCCCGCCGACATGCCACTCGTCACGCGAAAGGGCGTGTTTCCGTACGAGTATACTGACAAATGGTCGAGGCTCGAGGAGACCGCCCTGCCGCCGAAACGTGAGTTCTATAGTATGCTATTGGAGAAGCACGTTAGTGACGAGGACTACGTACATGCAACGGAGGTGTGGAAGCATTTCAATTGCAAGACCCTCGGCGACTACAGCGACCTGTACCTGAAGGTTGACGTTCTCCTTCTGGCCGACGTGATGGAGAACTTCCGCGACCTATGCATGTCAACGTACAACCTAGACCCCGTGTATTATTATACGGCGCCGGGGTTTACGTTCGACGCCATGTTGAGGTATACGGGTGTCAAACTGGAGTTACTGACCGATTACGATATGGTGCTCTTCGTGGAACAAGGGATAAGAGGGGGGTTGGTTCAGGCCAGCGAACGGTACTGTCGCGCAAACAACCCCAAGACGCCGGGGTACGATGCTGAGAAACCACCATCATGGCTCGTCTACCAGGATTGTAAATATACAACGCTTATACTATTAATTATTATTATATTACTAACTCTAAACCTATTCTTGCAGGCAACAACTTGTACGGGTACGCCATGGGGGAATACATGCCCCACGGAGGGTTCAAGTGGTACGAGGGGGATTTGGATCGCTCTCTAGAGCTGTTGGATGGTATGACTGACAAATCCGACGTTGGGCGTATCTACGAGGTTGATATCGCGTACCCAGACCACCTACATGACGCGCACAACGATCTCCCCTTCTTACCTCGGAATGCCGTACCCCCCGGCTCAAAAGTGAATAAACTAATGGCTACGTTGGAAAGGAAAGAACGATACATTGTACACTATAGGAATTTAAAGCAGGCCATTGCTAATGGATTGATAGTGGAAAAAGTAATATATATAATCCAACTTAATTACGTGAAATTAACCTCGATAAATAATTATAGGTTCACAGGGTGTTGGAATTCCAACAGTCGGCATGGCTTGCTAAATATATAAATCTAAATACCGAAATGAGAAAGAAGGCCTGCAATGAATTTGAACGTGATTTCTTCAAACTACTTAACAACGCTGTGTTTGGTAAATATCTCAATGATATAACTCTATCATTATCACACTATAATTTTGAAATATTATTCTAATTTCCAGGGAAGACTATGGAATGCGTTAGAAATCGTATTTCCATGGAATTGGTGTCCTGTCCCCGACGAATGCGTAAGCTAATTAACAAACCCACGTTCAAACACGTCACCACGTACACCGAGAATCTGGCCGCCGTATCCCTACAACATAGTGACATACATTTCTCCAAGCCTATTTACGTAGGGTTCAGCGTTCTGGAAATAAGCAAGGAGTTAATGTATGATTACCATTACAATGTGATGCGGCGGCATTACAAGGACTCGATTAGACTGATGTATATGGATACAGGTATTTACGAAATAATATTATTTACACTCATATAATATCTAACGTACGTAATGCTTTTATAGATTCCCTGATCTATCGGGTTTACACGGACGACTTTTACAAGGACCTGGCGGACAACCCCACACTCCTCGAGCGGATGGACACCTCGAATCTCCCCGTCACACACCCGTGCTACGTTGGTACTCGTAAGAAGATCCCCGGACTGTTCAAAGACGAGACAGCCTCCAGGACTATGTACGAGTTCATTGCACTCCGGGCGAAATCATATGCGTACAAACTCGAAGGGGACGAAAAACTCGTGGCCAAGGGGATTCGAGGGCATGTGGTCCGAAATCATATGACGTTCGAGGACCACAAGCGCTGTCTGTTCAAGGTCGATGACGACGACGACAAAGCTGCGGATGGTGCCGAGAGTGAGGAGGTGGGTGATGACGACGAATACGACTACATGGAGGACGACTTTGATGATGGCGCTACGCTAAAGGGTGAGGAGCTGAAACGGCCCGATCGGTCATCAGCACGATCCATGAGAATGCCACCGCCGCTACCGCCGCCGCAATTGCTGGCGTGGAATTCACCCCAACACCGCTTCCACCGTACACGCCGTATACACCGTATAGGCAAAATGTATCGATCCGATCGTTCGAGCACTGCGTCAAAACGATTAAGACCATGAAAATGACACTTAATCGTTTCGACGATAAGCGCGTTGTCGAGGACGATCGGGTACGTACACGTGCCTACGGTCATTATGCGTTACGCTTGTGATATTATATCATATATATTTACTTTGTGTATATAACTCCACTTGTATGTATTATAATTATATTGTATTTTATAGACTTGCTTAAATAATTGTGATATAATAGTATAATAATATGTGTATAATTAAATAAAAAATATATGCAATTGTATATGTTAGTAAAATACATAATATAATAGTTCCATGTGTAATTAAAAATAAAATATATACAATTGGATACGTTAGTTAAATACATAAATATTAATATTAAACTATCTTTAGCTGGTGTACCTGCCATACCGTTCCGTGAGTGCTTGTGCCGTGCCGTGCCGCGCCATGCCATGCCATGCCTTGTATTATACGATTTAAGAATTATTTATAAACCATTTTCGTATGGCGAAAACTTTGTAGAACGTACATTGTTTGGGGTTGAACTCCATGTGAAAAATACAGCAGGGTAGAGTCACGTCACTGCCATCACATATTTGATCCAATCGAGGACAACCCAAGTCTTCAATGTTGACGAGTGCAACGTGTGGAATGTGTTCCATGAGAAGTTGTTTTTTCTGCTCACCCTTCACGTAAATACAGTCGAACTTCAGTGAATTCAATACCCGGCCGAGCTCCTCGTACTCGACATCACCATATTCCAGAGATAGTTGATGATAATTACGCTCAAGCCATTTGTTCGTTTTCCTACTCTTGTTGTCCTGTTTAGAGTTGGAATTCTTGAAAATCCAGTGTTGGCACGCCCATGTTTCCGTGTCCACTACAGACATTTCTTTTATCATATATTTATTGTCAGCCCCGAGAACGCACTGAATGTCTACGATAGCCGACATTATTTTCGATATTTTATTCTAAAATATTATATCTATTCTCGATAGTCTTCAAACGTTTTTCCAGGACTGAAATAAACGACGCTAGATCTGATAAAGGTTTTCTGATACGAGTTTCAGACTCTAATAGAGATTTTGTACCTCGCCGAATATCGTCTTCCAACGATTTTATCTTTACTTGTAGATCTGTGATATCACCTTTCAGAGTACTTATCTCCGACTGCAGTAGCTTTGTATCGTATAGAATCGTTTTGTTACTCGATTGAATGTATGAAATAGTATTTTTTCTACGTCTATTTTTGAAAATATCCATAATCAATATACATGTTGTCCATACGAATCGTATTATACTACTGAAATGAGTTTTCAAATACCTAGTGCATTAAACTCAACTATTATGTGTGTATGCAGGTACATCTATCGAGGTCATAGAGTATACTAAAAGTTAATTCTTCCTAACATAATTGTCTTCGATATTTTTCACACGTGTAAGTAAGTCTGAAATATACGATCCGTGATTGGGCAGGGAATTTTCATAAAATTCTCCATTGATATCACTTAATATATTATTTAAACGAGCGATTTCTTCTCGAGTTAAACTAATTACTGTACTACTTTCGGCATAGTTATTAAATAGTTCTGAAACACGGTTATCAGAATTTAATAAAGACCTATTGTTGCGTTGTATATCACCCTCCATCGATTTTAATTTCTCTTCGAGATTTGTGATATAACTTTTCATACCATCTATTTGCCCCTTCAATAATTTTACATCGTACAGAATTGTTTTATTACTCGAATTAATGTGTGAAATAGTATTCTTTCTACGTCCATCGATAGAGTTATTGAAAATATCCATTATCGATACGTGTTATTCAGCTGAATATGAATATACTACTGAATTGGACGGTCACAATTTAAGGTCGCTAGCTTTTAACCAACTATTATGCGTCGCATCAAATCCCAACCACTTGACAAACACTTGATTACCTTTTTTACGTATAATTTTCTCGATTAAATACTCATTTCGGTGATTAGTCTTGTGTATTTCCTCGGAATAAAAACATCCAGCAATCGGTTTTCCAGTATAGTCTTGCAACTGATATGTAACGGGTAATGTTTTATTTATTTTGATAATTTCAAATATTTCCGTAGACCAGTTTGGTAAATAACCTTTTGTAAACACCCCTTTTTGGGTACTAACCCGAACGTTATCACCTACTTTGAATTTAATTTTTACATTATTGATTTCACGTTGCTTTATTTCCACCGTAAGAGGGTCTGCATCCGCCTGTACCGGTGTCATTCCAATAGTTCTGTGTTTCGAATTATTATATTCCCTAAGCAACCTTGGTAGAATAGAAATCCATTCGTGAGAGCCTCGTGCAGTAAACTCTCTAAACATTTTCTCTTTTAGCGTACGATTGAAGCGCTCAACAATACATGCTTTCATGATACTGTATGTAGAATATTTGTGTATACCATATTTATCCATCAACCCATCGAACATTTTGTTATAAAACTCCTTCCCATTGTCCAATTGTAGAAGTTTTGGCGAGCGATCGTGTAATATTTTAGACATAACACTAGTAACTTCTCTACCTGTTTTCGTTCTCAAAGGTAGAGCCCATGCAAATTTAGTAAAACAATCAATTACACATAAAATATACTTGTAGCCTTTGTTTTTCCCCGAATATGGTATCATTTCAACCAAGTCAGCTTGCCACAAATCATTTTTTCCATATATGTTAACTCTACGCCTTGTAAAATTTCGCCGCGATGGTTTGTGGAGTTCAATAGCAATTTCACGTTTAGACATTTGGAATTCGTTTGATTAACCCAGCCTCACGTAATTCCTCAAAAATAGATATTATCTCATTGGAAACACCCGTATTACCAGCTGATTTCGACGCTAGAAGTAATCGAAGTCTATCGACCAACTCGTTTGGGTTATCCCAATACACTAAGTTGTTTTTCTGTACTTTCATAGATAGTTCACCGCCACCGGTGGGGAATAATTTACTTATAATATTTTTATATTTTTTACATTTGGTATTTCTTATTTTTAAACCACCTGCGGTTAAATGTGCTGATGTTTGAACTAATATCGATTTGTAAACCTTCAAATCATTATCCGTATAAATGGTGGGGTTTTTCAAAAACAATAGTTGAATAATACCCGAGGTTGTTGGATAACTACGCTCATCGATAATTATTATTCGTTGAGTGAATTTTACTTCTTTATCACCTAAGATAATATCACCGTTTACGAGTTTTTTCGGACCAAATGTTCTATCTATATCCGGTGACTGAAACCAATTTTCAATTCCTCGCTGATAATTTTCCTCATTGATATTAATGATTTCAGAATCCAACCCAACAGGTTTATCTTCTTTCTCGGTCTGATTAGTGTATAAATCACGTGTATTCGATATTTTAGTTAAAGGATCTATAATAGGTTTGAATGTCTGCGCCATTAACTGTTGAACATTAGCTTCAACAGTTTTTAACGTAGAATATTTACGTTTCATACTTTCCTTGGCCTTGACCAACTCCTCTAATATATTACTACCATCCTTCATGACTGCGTTTTAAATGATACTTTTTACTATAAACACTAACTTATATAACCACATAGGTGTCGAACCCAAATCGATAACGCCCGTTATCACGTTCACTATCTTTACAAATAACTATAAATGCAAACCTATCGCGATTCCAGCACACAGTGCAAAATTGTTTGAATTGAATATATGACATATCACCGGAACAGTGTTCATTATATACATGTTTTAAATTAGTTTCATCTTGTTTGAACAATACTATTAAATTAGCATTATCGCGTATCAGTTGTTTAGGTGCTTTCGAATAACTCTGAGCTAGATAGAATATATCTACTTTATTATGTCGCCCTCTGGAAAAATATTCCCTTATAACACCTTGCTGTTCCCCGATAACATCATCCATGATAAATATAGAGTTTGGTAATACTTTTTCAGGTGTGATGACCTTATCGTTCTCAAAAAATGTAAACATTTGAACTCCATCAATACCATCGATAATACGTTTCAGTAATTTATACTTCGGTTGCTCCAGGGTTTTAGAGTATATGTAAACGTTTTCAAATCGAAGCCCGTTTTCATCAACGAGTAGAAAGTATATCAAATTCGTCTTGCCACATCCCGAACTCCCTAAGATCAACGATCGTATCGTATTTGGGAATAGGTCACCATGTCTATGCTGTATTGTATCCGGGGTATCAATGTTATATATTTGAAGTTTTTTCTCTTGCTCTATAAAACGCATTTTCCCTGGTAGATGTTTCACTATAAATACAAATGTACTGTCTGTGAAGGCGTCACACGATGTCTCACGTTCGTAAGCGGAACAACAATAAGGGTTCGGGTCTCATTAACTCGGTTATAAACCATTTACCAGTAGAATTACATCTACCCGGTTATCGGTGAGTCGTCAGTACATCACATTATTCGATTATATCTAAACATTGTGTTTCATTACAGTTTTGCTGGTCCTGGTACTAAACTAAAAGAAAGGCTGGCACGAGGTGATCGAGGTGTAAACAGTCTGGATGAGTGGGCTAGAGCTCATGACATCGCGTATGATAGAAGTAATTCACTAGCGGATAGACACAGGGCTGATGAAATATTAGAAAATCAAGCTTGGGAGGTGTTTAAATCTAAAAACACTGGTATTAAGGAAAAAGCTGCATCTTGGTTGGTTACTACAGCCATGAAAGTCAAACGTAAGATGGGGGCCGGTTGTGGATTCAAACAAATGGTTTCGGCTGCTAAAAAGTCAATCAAAAATAAGCTGAAAGAAAAGAATATAACTAAACTGATAAGAACTTGTCTAACAGCGGCTAAAAAATCGAAAACTAAGAAAACTAAAACTCCTAGAATTATTCCAATTCCTAAAAAGGGAGGTGTTTTACCTTTAATACCTATTTTTGCCGGTTTATCCGCATTAGGTGCGCTTACTGGTGGTATCGGTAATATAGTAAAAGTCGTGAATGATTTAAAATCTAATAAAAACACTCCTATTCACTTAGGTAAGGGTTTATATCTCACACCGTAC